CTAGTATATATCTGTGTACTCTAGAGCATATATAGCTAGGTTTTCCTTTATTCTTCCACGTGCACAAACCCACGAAGCCTCTGCTATCAACAAAAGCCAAAATAATACTGTACTGTACATCATGACCTTAAACTCTTATGTAGGGTGATGTATGCAAATTCAGACTTCAACGATGGACATCACTGTGATTGTAATTGGTGGTTTGAAATCAGCGATTATGATTGGTGGTTTGAAATCAGCGTAGCGAAATCTACATGTTAAATTTCAAAAACCCTTTCACGACTTTCACCCACCGGCCCTCTCTTTCTACCAAATATATGAGGCGTAGAGGCGGTATGAGTTGTGAATATGAAATTAAATTTTATGTCAATGTGTGTAATTGTTCATAGCAAATATACTGTAACACTATTAAAAATACAACTAGAGGTAATATTATATCCGTGTACATAGCTTAGTCTTTCCTTACTGTTATTCCAATGTTCACTAACCGCGGAGGCTCTATCAACTAAACACAAATACTGTACTGTACATGCCCATGGAGGTATTATAGTGAATTTATATATCAATAATTCATTATTAGACCTATAGTTGTTTTTTGAATTGTACTCCACAAATCTCAGCCGATACCTCGCACAACTCGTTAAAGTCAGGCTCGGAGGGAAAAAAAATGTTATATGTTGTAGAACTGATTTTTCTAAGACAGAAAAAAAGTTGTTTGACGAAGAACTGGGGAACGGTGAATGAGATACAGATTTTTGAATATTTAAAAACTGGGGTAAAAGGGCCTAACCGCCCAATTTTACACCTTTTCCCCCAGTTTTTAAATATTCAAAAATCTTGCAATAAAAAAAATGTACTTCCTAGACCATGCAGTCTTAAAAATAAAAATTGTAACCTTTGGTAATCAACGACATTTTCCACATACATAGAAATTTTTGAAACTTTATTTAAAAAAACCTAAACCATAACTCACCACTATAGACACTTTTTGACAAAAATGAAAAATTACGACTTTGTTACCTAATGAGAAGTGTTCTAATATAGACAGTGGGTCGTGTCTCATATTATTTGTTATATTTTTATCATTCATTATTTTCACTTGACTCGCATAAATAATTTTGTTCGAAGGACATTTATATGCAGTTGTACTTCGCAGCACTTCACTTGCAATTTGCAATTTCTAGTATAGGGTGATGTATGCAAATTCAGGCCTCAGCGATGGACATCATTGTGATTGGTGGTTTGAAATCACTGTGCTGTGTAGCGTAACGGAATCTACATGTTAAATTTCAAAAACCCTTTCACGACGTTCACCGACCCTCTCTTTCTACCAAATATATGAGGAGTGGATTTAGAAGGGGGTATGGTAGTTGGTCCTGTCACTGAAAAAAACCCTCGAAGCCTCTGCTATCAACAAAAGCCAAATACTGTACATCATGATCTTACTCTTATATAGGGTGATGCCTGTAAATCAGGCTTCAGCGATGGACATCATTGTGATTGGTGGTTTGAAACCACTGTGCTGTGGCCAGCGTAGCGGAATCTACATGTTCAATTTCAAAAAACCTTTCACGTCGTTCATCCACCCACCATCTCTTTCTACCATATGAGGTGTGGAGGCGGTATGAGTTATGAATATGAAATTAAATTTTCTCTCAATGTGAGGTAATGTATGTCCGTGTACATTGCCAAGTCTTTCCTTACTCTTATTCCAATGTTCACTAACCGCGAAGGCTCTACTATCAATTAAAAAAAAGTACATGCCGATCTTAAAGGTGATGTATGTCTGCTGTGCAAGCAAAGTCAATTTCAGCGGACTGATTTTGGCTTATGTGGACTACATTTGGCAAGTAATTATGAGGCCAAAATCAGTACGCCGGACCGATTTTTGCCCCGGACCAAATTTTTATTTATCTATTTTTTATTACTCCCCATGAAATGTCCAAAAATTTAAAACAGTCTATATTTCTTTCTTATTATATAAATTTAAAGCATTTATCAATTTCATTACTACACTGTTTAATTCACTAATAAAATATATTTTACTGTAATTGTTATTTTTCTCCTTTGCCTACTAGCTGTTTCTTTATTGGGGAGGGGGAAAATCATTTGGCTAAATGAGAAAACAACATTTTTTTTTCTGCGAAACAATGTATAAAATTGTCTCGCCGACGAATCCAACTCCGCTCATGTGAGCTTGAGGAGACGACGCGACGCCATATGCTGATTGTGGGTGACAACGGACCGTCAGATCCGTTGCGCGCTTGAGGTAGCGTATACTCCATAAAATCACTTCGGCCGACGACCGCCGGGCGCAGTGAATACTCAGCTTAAAAATTAACACGATTGATAAGCTATTGGCCAGGCCTTGCCTATTGAGCCGTTAAGGTCACTGAATTCAGAATGTCAATGAGATTTCTTTCATCTACGACCCCCGTGTAGCCATGTTTATGGCGGTTCAACCATGTGTCAATTACTACACGTACTACGCGTACTGCACGTAATACACGTACTACGCGTACTACACGTAGTACACGTACTACGCGTACTACACTACTACGTCGGGGAAGACGAGTAAATTTTGTCGGAGAATAAACAAATAAAAAAAAAATTAATTATTTAATATTCGTTTAGCCACCATATTGTTTTATTAAACTATTTGTGTACTTTTCATCACAATAATAATAATAATAATAATATTAATAATAATATTAATAATAATAAATCAATGAGACTAATAAAAATAAATTGCGTTCTGTTATGACAAATGCTCGTTTGGATAGCCTCGATATGCTTTGGAATTCGTGATAGGTGAAGCAACCTCGACCTTGACAGCGTGGTTGACAGATTTCATAAAATTTCCAAAATGTAGAATTTCACTTTCAAGAATGAGGATTTGAAAGTAAAATAGATGGTTACATTGCATACTCTTTGTTTCTTGCTTTATTCAAAATGTTTTGGTTTTGGAAGCTGATTTCGACATTAAAAAAACATAGCCTACGTGAAGTCATATTATAGAGGCTCGATGCCTATCAAATAAGTAATAAAAATACGCCATAATTCGTCAAATATCCGTGGCTTCGCCCCTGGACCCCAACTGTGGGCCCTAGGCGGCCCCCTAGCCCCAGCCAAGTGAGACTCGATTCCACTAGCCGCCCCCCCCGTCGGGGCCTTTAGCCCCTCCGTCGGGCAGGTCCTGGCGCCATCACTGGTCCGAAGCCATGACGAGTCATCGGAATAAAAATATTAATTTGGCGATTCAAACAATGCTAATATCGCGTGATTGTTTTCAAGTATTATGTACATTTAATGTATGATATGTGGAAAAAATGTATAAATAAATTCAAAAGTGAATTCAAGTACGGTATTATATTGCTCATTTAAGAGAATCAAATCTACTAGATTTCAAGATTTCCTTAATGATAAATAGAAGCCTTTTATTTGTACCAGGTTCTGGGTTAAACTAAGGCAAGTCTTAAAATATTCGAATATTAGCATTTGCGAGCAATATATTTTCAATTTCTATAGGTAAATAGTAAATATAATTGATTATTTTAATGCACTGGACAAAGTTGTCAAAGTTCTCAGTTGTTTCATGCTCCTTTTTTGAATACTTTATTTTACTCGGTTTGTGACGTTTGTGCTGCAGTTTTGCCCGTCATGGTACAGTAATTAGGCACAGAGCGGAGATATGTTACTATCAGCAAAAAGTATAATGTATAGAAGTAGACATACCCATAATAATTCTAAATATCACTGAACGATATTACTTGAGACAAAAGCTACATAATGAATACTAACTATATTCTTAATTTGTTCTTGATTACAACATCTGTGATCAAAAAATTAGTATAACATGCACTAATACTATTTCTGATTTATTACAATGTAATTCAACGTGCCAGTAAGAAATTCGATTACAATATAGTATAAGCCGCGCAAGAAGACACAACAACCTCCTTTGTTTGTGTTCGCCCATTAGTCAGATCAATGAGGTCTGCAACAATAGTTCGAGTCCTTTGTTTACAGCTAACACCTCCGGTGGTCTGGGACACAAGGTCTTGGCACCTCTCTCCAAGATTCCACTTGCCGGGAACGCCACCAAGCTGAGAGTGAGTGAAAAAAATCGTGTGAAACAAAGAATCAAAATGTAGGCCTATCCA